GGATTATTACCTAAGCTCATGCAACTATTTTGTAGTAGAGCTTAAATTTGAGTGTAGGTATTCTGCTTCTACAACCAAGATTATACATCATGCTGTCTTCTGTAGTGTTTCTATACTCATGATGCTTTACAGATAAAGCATCTGTTTCGAGATGACCACCCTTTCTTGCCTTTCTGCCCAAAATAGAATTAAAGAAAACTGACTTTCATGGAGAATTTGTTGAAAATCTGATGTCCCAATGATACATATTAAGCTGTATAAGTATGCAAACCTAGATATAAATGAAAATTTCTTAGTCTATTGTATCTTTCATTAGAATAGAAAGTTCATCTTCATATATATACACACACATATATATATGCATATATATATGTATATATTTTGGGGTGGAGGGAGGGTGGAAGTGGCTTAAATATATTGTCATCAAAATTGCCACCCCAGCTTTCTTTTGGTTCATGTTTGCCTTGTTACATCTTTTACCATCTCTTTTTTGGAAACCTTTTTGAACTTTTTTGTTTTATGTGTCTCATAAATGACACATTGCTGGATTTTGTTTCTTCCCCAATCTGAGAATTTTCTCTGGCATTGTAATTTCAGATTGTTATGGGTGAATTTTCTTTAATTTTCTTTTCTGTCATTGATTGCTTAGATTACAGTATTTACTATGTTCTATGCCAGGCTTTACTTGCTTCATCTTGTCACTTCTTCCTGAATTTATTTCTCTTCTTACTACATTATGTTCCCCAGAAATTCTTTCAAATAATGTCTTTGTGTGGTGAATTTCCTGAGACTTTGTATGCTAAAATTTCTTTTTCTTTCAATTTAAATAAGTTTATTAGCTGTGTATAAGTTCTAGGTTCACAGTCCTTTTAACACTTTATCTTGGAAGTTAATACTTTATTATCCAGAATTAGTATTGAAAAGTCTGATGTCAGTGTTATTCTTCCTCTATAGAGGGGTATGCATTTTTTTTCTGGAAGCTTTTAGGCTTTTATCTTGATCTATAATAGTCTTAATTATCCTTATATTATGTTTTGCTGTGGATTTTTCCTTAACTATCCTGTTCACTGCTCTATGTGCACTTTCAATGTAAGATTTGAATATTCCTATATCCAGGAAATTTTTGTCATTATTTCTCCAAATATTTCTTTTCTTCTATTTTGACTTTGCCTTCCTTCTAGGATTCCCATTACATGGATGGTCTCACTTCTACTCCTGTTCCTAATTTTATTCCTTGTTTGTTCTGTTTCTTCACCCCTTTCCTGTGCCTTCCCGGAGAGTTCTTCCACCCAGTGTTCCAGCTCACTAATTCATTCTCCGTCTATAGCTATTGTGCTTTCAATTCATTCTCTGAGTTCTTTATTTCAAACTATTGTATTTTTAATACCCACTATCTCATATTGATTCTTTTTTATAACTTTTTTTATATTTAATTTCAAAAAATCTTCCCTTTGAAGATGTTATTAATGCTTATATTATATCCTTGCTCAGTCTATTCTGTTTTCTCTGGATGAAGTTGCTCTGTTTGTTGTTTTTTCCAATCTTGTGCTTACATACTTCAGAGGTCTTAAAATTTTCCGTGTGGGCTTCACTTTTACTTCCTGCAATATTTAGCTGCCTTGGCTAGTAACTTTAATCTAAGGAGAGGGGTAAAAGTCTAGGCTCTGGCTGGTGCTCCTCCAGGTTAATTTAAAAACTGGAGTACAAAGCATCTAGTGTTCTACTTTGGCCTTAGCCACTTTTGCCATCATGTCTTCCTACTCCATCAAAAACAATACAAAATGAAACAAAGCAAAACAACCACCCACCAAACACATACACATAGCTCCTAATACTACTGTCCCAAACAACCACTCACTGTTGCAATTGCTTTGTTCTTTGTGTGGGGCCAGGTAGGAGTGGGGCCAGGTAGGACCGCTCAGAGACCTGAGCTGGTTGCCACCGACTCTCCACCACTGTCATGATGGTTAGATGTCAGACCCTTATTAATTGAATTCATACTTTGATTCAAGCACTGTATTGGGTGCTGGATTATAAAAATTTTAAAGATGCAGTACATATCCTTGAGAAGTTTTCATTTTAGTGATGTCAGTGGGCAAGTAAATAGGTATTTCTAATAAAGTGTAATAAATTCTGTTATATGAACACATGGGAAGAGTTCACTACTTCATTTGTGAGGAAGGAAGGTTTCTTCAGTGAAGATATAGTTTAGACTGAGTCTTGAAGGGTTGTTTGTTTGTTCGTTTGTTTGTTTAAGATAGTTGAGGAGGGTTATAAGCTGGGAGAAAAGGAGCATTTCTGGTAGAGCAAGTAAGTTTGTGAAGCCAAGTTAGTATTTGTTATGGCTGTTACTGTCTCTTTCCATGTGATGTAGCTTTGGAAAAATAACAGAAGGAAGAAATGAGTAAACTGGAATGTGGTAGGTTATTATGGATTTTAAGAAAGGAATTGACATGGTTAAGCTTACATTTTAGAAAGATCTTTCTGTATTATGGAGAATGAATTGACGTGGGGTAAGGCAGGAGCCATTGTTACCCATTTAAAGGCTTTATAGTAATCTGGGAGAAAAAAGATGAGGCCAGTAATCTCCCATATTAGTGGGAGAGAAAAGAAAAGGCCTCATATAAGGTAATAGCTGTGAAGATAGGAAAAAGTGGTTAAATCTAAATGAATTAAGGATATTGGAGACCAAGACCTGGTGGTTGAGTACGTTTGTTTACATTTGGTAGTGAAGGAAAGGGTGTGTATCAAGAATTACGCCTAGCTTTCTTTCAGGCATATAGTTCTAAAGGCATATTTCTTAAATATCATTTAATTTAAAGAATCACTTGGAAATATAGCAAAGCAGTAGCTCGCCAACCTTTTCTTTCTTCTTTCTTTCGTTTTAAAGAACAGTTTCTTATCCTTGATTCCAAAATGTCCTTATAGCTCTTGTTCATCCCACTTTGTGGGGACATCCATATGTTTCTTTCAAATTTCTTAATGTGCATGATGATGAGATGCTGCTTCAGGCCTTGCTGTCAGTGTCATATGACATACAGTACATATAACTTATACTAAAATACTCTAATGAAGCATGTCTAGCCCCAGTGGTTTCAGATAATAAATTATATGGACTTTTATTTTGAATCTGAACATTTTTGTTCTTTTATATTGCATTATCATTTTCTAATAAGAACCATTATGTGACATTGTAGCCATGGGGGAAAATGAAGTGGCTTTGTAATATATAGCCCAAATTCCCAAGGTAGATTACTAAGTGAAGGTACAAAACAGTGTGTGTGGTATGCTTCTGTTTGGATTTTAAAAATAAACAAACAAACAAACAAGAAAAATACACACATACACACACACGAATAAAATATCTTTAGAAGGACAGAGCTAATATCAGTGATTGAGAACTGGGAATCAGCGATAGACTTAATTTCATTGTAGTATACACACACACACACACACACATTGCACTGTCAGGTGATTCACTATATACATTATTCTTTTTGTTTAGATTTTAAATTCACAAATGTCCATATGAGAATGTTCTTGTGATCCATTTGACTTCCAGCTCCAATAAATGCATTAATTCTGTAATAATAAAGTTAAAAATAATTATTTATGTAGCTATTAGCTTTCTCTTGTTACAATTTATTCCTATCATTTGTCATTAGGACTGCATCCAGAGAACGAGTTTCAGAAATCCTTAAATTTTTAAATGTTGAATACATAGTATTGCTAAGATTGCCAGAAGCAGTGAGTAGAGAAGACAATGGCTAAAGATGAGTGCTTTGCTAATCATTAGACATTGGAATTTATTCCCAGTATGCCAGTCTGGGCAGTAAGAGCAAAGGTTGGAAGCCAAGAGTTTAGTTCAAGCAGTGGATTTTTAGGGGGAAAAAAATAGGGAAATTTGGAAAGATTGTATAGCAAGACAAAAGAAACAGATAAGCATGTTTTTGGCAAAGACTATTGAAGACAGAAATTGAGGGAAAAGAAATAAATTGGAGACCTTTTCAGAGAAATAAAGAGGTATGGGGAAAAGATTAAATATCATGACTGCAATACTGTTGTTGATTGTTGGCTTTTCATAATTATTTTCTGTAATGTGGTAGAAGTATAATTTCTATGTTAAATAAAGCTTGGTATTTATGATGAAATTTTAAACACTACTTGGTCAGAGTAATAAAAGTCAAAGTCCATTTGTCACTAGTAAATTAGTATAGAATGAAATCAGGATTAAAAAATCCAAATATTTGTCTCATTTCACCAAATGTATATTTATCTTTACTCCTTGCATAGTTAATATTTTTAGTTCTATCAGCAGTGTTCTGCCTACAGTGAAGAGCAAGAAATTAAATACCTAAAATATATAGTGATATTTGATATTTGTGTTTTCTTTGGTGATATATATTTTTTTAATATTACAACAGTCTTAGGTCCTGATTTATACTGTGCCCTAAGTTATTAAAATTAATGTCAGGTAAAATTTGTTAAAATTTAGTTATTTAGCTATGAACTCACAAACATATTCTTTATGTGCATATTCTTTATATAAAAATGTGACCATTGATGGATAGGTATTTGATAAAGCAAATATAGTAAAATGTCAGTTATAGAACCTAGATGGTGGGTAGAATTTGTGTGTTTGAATATTTTCATAATAAATGTTGGAAAAAAATAAACTAATTAAAAAGCTAATATGAAATAAACATATGTGAATAGTGAAATAATAATATATTTGCCTTCTTTTTGTTGTGAACTGACTTTGAGAAATCTGAAACATTCTTTCTGTCAGTGGAATACCAATTAAGTGGTAATACTATTAGATACATAAATAAATGATATCTTCCCATTTGATGGAAATTGTTTTGTCTTTACATTGTTATATGAGCATTAGTAAAGATATATGAAAACATTCTAAGGGTTTATAAAACAGTTTTTAGGTAAACAAATCATAGCAGACAAGGGTTTAGCAACTATTTAGAACTTTTATTCTTCTATTTTAGGGAATCTGGAAACATCAAAGCTGGATTAGAACATCTGGTAAGTTCTAATTTTCTCTTGAACATTTGCATCATCTTTGATATCTGCATTCTAAATGAACACTTTTGAATGAGCTTTGAATACCTTGTATTGAGAAAGTCAACCATTTCCCAAAGGGTCAGCTTACTGTTATTATGTGAAGGCACTTACATTTTCACTTATCTTATCATTTCAAGGGAATTTAAATTTTTTTAAATTACTTTTTTTTTTTTTTGATGTAGAGATGAAATAAAATGGATGACAATCCTTGGATTGATGATTGCTTTAATTATAAACAAAAATGTTTGGTGTAGAATTTTTGGCATATCTTGATCTGACAAAAACAAGCTTGCGTTTTAAGAAAAACACAATCAAATATTGCATGCATAAATATGGTGTGTTTTAGCAATTTAACGGCTTTGAAAGAAATGCACAGCTTTGTTTTTCCTAATGTCTTTGCATTATGAATAATGCATTGGTTTAAACTATATTCAGTTTAGAATATAAAACTGAGATGCAAAATTTCAGGTTTAAGTAAACAGTTTTAGAGCAGCAGTGAAATTCAGACTGACTTATTAAAATCTGTTCATTGATCAAAAAATTGGAAGAAACTGTTGTATTGTAACAGGCCCAAAATTCATTAGCTTACCACATTGAGTGTTCATTATAACATTAAATAGTTCATTTAAACAGAGCATTATAAAGTCATGCTCTGGTTTCTGGTCAAATCCAAATGTTGAATAATTAATGAGAGAGATTCTTTTGTAAATACAATCCAAGTACTTTTTAAATGCGAGACCTCATTCGTATATCATATTGTAGCTTTGTTAACTATTAATGTGCTTTTGTTTTCCCACAAAAGCAAACAGTAGCAAGAGGCATCTTCATTTTGACTTACATTAGTTTTAGAATTGGAAGGGATTTTTGGTTTTCCTTTCAAAAGGAAACTGAGGAAACCTAATCGTTAAAAAAAATTCTAAAAATTATAAATAATTATTAAAAAGCGAGATACAATAACCTTGTTAGAAAATTTGAACTATATATTTGTCCAGATAAGAAGTAAATAAATAACATTTTGTTCTTATTATTAAAAATTAATTCCTGAATCTATATTTGTCACTTCATAATGACACATATATTTAGGACATATGTACATCAGAACAAAAATGTTAATCTAAGACATCAAGTTCCAGTATCAATTGGAGATTTATAACAAGGAAGAACACCTACCAGAGTGCTGAAATGAGCTGTCTTTTATACTTCTCTTGTAAGTTATTATGAATTAGAAAGACTTTATATCTCTTTGGTTCATGTTCCTCTGTAAATACTAGTTAGATTTTTTTTTTAGTTTAAATTTTATATTTTTTTATACTTACTAGTATGAACTTATTTCCAGTGACTGTTTTATTATTTATACTCTATTCATAATCTTATGTAGCAGTGGTTCTGACTGTGCCTTGGGCTGCCAGGAAGGCTCCCCAAAGCAGGTAGCACTGCAGACTTCCAGTGCCCACTTTGACCAGCGTAGTTCCAGTTTTAGTTATTTTGTATAGTTTTAAATTTTTAAAATAATATTTCATCTGAAGAAAGAGTTCTACTAAATATTAAAAAATCTTTGATGAAACATAGCCACTAATTAAAATCAGGAGTAGTTGTTTGTTAATTATACTTTTATGTTCTTAAACGTAAATTATATTTCATCTGGATCATACATATACAACAAATATATTTCAAAGATAATGCATTTTAGGAATGAGAGAGCCTGGATAAGTAAAACAAATAGTGGGAAGTAGATGATTTTAATGTACTTTATCTAAGTTGTTCAAAAGACTCTGTAACTTGTCATTGCCAGATTGACTCACTGATTGTGAACTATTAACAATAATATAACTATATAAATATATAACAAAATCACACACACATATATATATACATACATACATATTGCTTTGTGCACTAATAACATTCAGACAGTCAGTGATATTCTTCATAACTCCCTAAGAAGGAAGTAAACTCAAGAATTTATTGGTCGAGCATTAATGAAACCTATATGTTTAGCAGCTGTGGGCTCATAGGTTTGTGTCTTTCTACTTTCCGACTGAGAAGATACTTAGGGCCCTTGTCATCTAGCACAGATAACCCTTCTTTGAATTGGTTATGTAGCCAAATACAATTAGAAGTATAGCTTCCAACAGATTGCTTTTTTTAAATATACGGAATAAAGTTAAATGAGAAGAGTATTCTCATTTGGAATAATTTCTTCTTCATGTAGCCTTCATCTTTTCGAATTTATTTGCATTATCATAGAGAATTAGCATTGTTCTAAGAGAGGGTAAAGCCAGTATAAATTTAAATAAGTTGCAGAAAATGACATGTGCAACATGTTACACTTGCCAAAAGGATACATATGTAGCGGCACTGTCTTTGTACTCTGTTTATGGGCTCTTCTTGGTGTATAGTTATGTGTAACCCTAGAAAGGAGAAAGCAAGTGTGGATGTAGAGAAGAAAGAGTGACATAGATGGTCTATGTTCCCCTGGAACCTCCTCAAGTCTCGATTTCATTTATTTGTCATAATACCTCAAACCCTTGATTCGCTTTTGTTCTATCCTTTCTTTCTATGTTGCCAGCTTTTCTAGGGGAAGTGTCTAGCATGTCATTCTTAGCTTAAATTTTTATAACATACTGCCCAGTACCATTTTATTTTTCTTTTCACAAACACGTCTACTACCCATAAAGCCTATGTTTGTTTAAAGTTCTAGACAGAGCCTGTGCCCTGTTATCCACTGATGCTTCTTACATGATAATTGCAAAATGGAGATTTTCCAACTCTTTCAGTCACCCCATATTTAGCAGCCAGTGTTCTACTGTAAGGAAGAGCCTACCCTTCTTTCTTATTTATCTGTTTATTTTGAGAAAGGACTCATGGATTTTTATTTTACTAAATAGGTTATTATTAATTACTTTCCTTATTAATTTGATGCTCAAGTTTTCCCAGACTCATCTAAAGAATATCCTTTTGATGCTCAAGTTTTCAAAGACTTATCTAAAGAATATCCTTTCAAGGCAACTTCTGGGTCCTTTCAACATACCCCATCTTTTTTTCTTTTTTAAGTGTGTCCTGACATTATGGCATAACTAGATGTTCCAGGCTCTTCTTATATCTTCCCTGTCCTAATCCCAGAATCAGCCATTTCTTCAAATTACCACATTTCATTTTAGAAGAAAATAGTATTTAGAAGTCAAGGTCTATGTATGTGATGTGCTCTTTGTCTCTGAGGTTTCATCACTTCTATGACATTTCAGTCTTAGATTAGATAAATAGATAGATAGGTTAATTAGCTATTTTAAAGAAATTATGAGTCATAATTATACCTCCAATTTAAGTCCAAAGCACAGAATTCTTTCTTGTCCTCCCCCATTTCATATTTGTATTTCCCTTTATTCAAAGTAAGAACCCTAACTCCTAACAACACCAATGCATTTACCCATTTGCTTAGTCATGTTTTATACACACACGCACATACACACACACACACACGTGTAATTTTACTCCTAGACTTTCTGTAAAATTAAGCTTATATGCATGTATGTATTCCTGTTTCCTCTTATTAAAAGTCACATATTGCATAAACGTTTTTGTATTTTGCTTTTTTTTCATGTAACATTATATCCTGGAAATCATTCCATAATTACTATATCATTATACTTACTACTTTTCTTTCTGTATTTTGCTGTGTTTTCTTTATTAAAGATATGAGATTGTAGCCTACTTACATGCCTGCCACACTTTTATAGATGCTGGCAGAAGACATGAGATGCCTTTCAATTCTTCATTTCTGAAATATTTTTCTTCCATTTGTTTTTACTTTTTGAATATCTGATTTTAGGGTTTTGTTGTTGTTGTTGTTTTTCCAAATGAGTCTTGTACTTTGTGATTGGTTCAGGAGAATGAATTTTTATCTATTGAAATGTTTTGGTTTGCATTTTCTGTTTACTTATAGCGGCTTTATATGGGAGTGGTTTGATTTTTTGGCTTTCCCTCCCTCCCTCCCTTCTGTTTCCCTCTTCCTTTCCCTCTTCCTTTCCCTCTTTCTTTCCTTCCCTCCCTCCCTCCCTTAACTCCTAGACATTTTGTAGACAGGGTTCCTAGCTCAAGGGCGTCTTCTTCTACAGTACAGTGAAGTGCAGTTTCTTTAATGGATGACGGTGGGGGAGGCAGAAAGAAAGGGCTGGCATGTCTCATTTCTCTTTAGCTGTTTGTTTCTTCTTTCTTCTTCCTTGTCATTGCCAAGTATTCTATTTATCTGATTTTCTCCCAGAAGCAATGCTTCCTGAGGCTGCCATTTCTGGTTCCACTCACTTTCAAGTTTCTTCCCTTTAGCTGGTGCTGTAGTAAACACTAATCTGAGGCCTGTGTTCACTATTTTGGCATTTTAGTGTTGTAGTACTTTGTTTTTCTGGGGGATGATTTTTGTTTGTGTTTCCAGTTATGTATTAAAATTACAACTGCTATCAGAGTAGGGGAGGGGGTCTGTGAAAAGTTTTACCTCAAAAGAGAAATTTCCTAATGGAAAATGGTGTAAATCAATGTCGAACAGACCTTGAATCCTAAGGAGTCCTGCTGTGGAAATCCTGTAGGAATCACCAGCAAATCAAACCTCTTAAAGAGCTCAGTACCCATATTTATTTAAGACTTAGAGAAAACAAGTGAAAACACTGCTTATAATGTTGTGCTTAGATTTTATAATGAACTTAAGGAAATAATGCTTTTTATCTGCTGAAGAATCATATACAAATTAAAGACCTTTAGCTAGGACCCCAGTATATATGTCTGTTAACACAAAATAGTCTAAGGAGTAGAAGTAGATGGTTATTAAGTGGCAAGGTTGCTCCTGAATTTTTTTTTATTGATGATGCTCTAAAAGTGTAGAAAAGAGACTGTAAGTTCTTCTCTGTTATGTCAAAGGGAGCTGACTCCATATTTTTCTACCATCTTAGGTTTTATTTATTTATTTATTT